GTTAAAGATCGAAAAGAGAATTTGAATAACGGCGAAGTACTAGTGCACTGTGATTTCTCAGAAAATTATGCCTTTGTGGCTCAAGATGCTGCTTAATCCTTCCATTACAACAATGACCAATGTACAGTCCATCCCGTTGTTTACTACTATCGCGAAGGAAACGAGATCCAGCATCGGAGTTTAGTTGTTTTATCAGATAGTACTACTCACGATACCGCAGTTGTTTACTTGGTACAGAAAATTCTAATACAACATGTGAAGAATAACTGCTAAGATGTCGAGAGAATCATCCATGTCACCGATGGAGCTGCACAGCATTACAAGAATCGTTACCAAATGGCTAATCTTCTGCATCACAAGACTGATTTTGGAATACATGCAGAGGCCCATTTCCATGCAACCGCACACGANATTTCCATGCAACCGCACACGGTAAAGGAGCTTGTGACGGTGTGGGTGCTGTTTTCAAAAGAGAAGCGAGACGTAGAAGCTTGCAAATCGTCCATGGTGAACCCATCCTGACGCCAGATGCTTTGTTTCGATGGTCAAAAGAGAATTTCAAAGGAATTGATGTGTTTTTTCACCAAGGACGAATATGAGAATATAAAAACTGAATTGAGCGAAAGATTTGATAGTGCCAAAGCTATTCCAGCCATTCAAAAACACCATTGTTTCATTCCAAAACCGGGAGAGCCATTGTTAATGAAACGATATTCGGCTGCGGAAAACCAAGAAGTTTTCCTGAAATGAAAACAAACAACAACAACACGGAAAGCATTTACAAAACAGTAATCGTGATGAATAGATGTATAGTAAATCAGTGCAATTGGGCACGTGGTAGTTGGAGACGGTAAATAATAGCCTCTTATTGTAAAAATGTAAAAAGGTCGTTATAGTAAAGTAAAACTTGTTTTTCCATCTTTCGCACTTCTTTGGATGAGTACTTTGTCTTTCGAAAGAGGTTTATAATGTTGTTGATAGTCCCTCCCATTTAGCAGAAGGGAAAACTGTCGATTGAAAAGTGAAAGAAGCAAAAAAAAGATTGAAAAGAAGAAGAAAAAGAGAAAAGGAGAAAAAATAAGAAAATTGCGAAGCAATCACATTTTTCTGGTGTACTGCTTGTCTCTTCCATGATGGCTTTCCTTTTCATCGTTATAAGCAAAAAATATTGATTGATACGTTTGTTTCTTTGAAAAAAATTTTTTCTCGACGCATTGTTTCTCTTTTCTATCGTGATGAATCTCTTTCCTAACGCATATTCATCAAAGGTATGGATTGAAATATCAATTTCTTAATAAAGACGAGGCAGCTCCCCTAGAAAGCGGAAAAACACGAAAATTAAGGAAACAAAAATTTTCTCCGGTGCACTGGTTGGCTCTCCCATGTTGGCGTATTTTTTTACAACATATATGGACGTCCTCTATCAGAAAAAAAATATTGCAGGCGAATACCGGACGGCCCTGGAGCCGAAAAAAAATAAAAACGTAAAAATTCATCGAAAAATAGGTGTAGAAGCTTCTTCACGCCTATGGAGTATTTTTTCTCTGAAAGTATGAACGAAAAAAAAAATTTCTATTTTTATTTGTGCGAATCGGATGCGCCATTCAAAAGTTATGATTTTTGAAAATTTAAAGTTTGGTAGTCTTTATCTCAGAAACAAAAAATCATGAGGCAATGAAATTTGGCAGGAATACTGTCTATATATAGTAGTTCGAAATGCGGCAATCAAATCATTTTTTCTAGACAAAAAAAATCCGGGGTGGCTGAGTTGACATGGAATGTCCCATATGAAGGATTCTTTGTCAAGTGGGCCACCTATTTTCATCATGTCCGCAAATTCATTTGCGACAGTTCTCTCTCGGTTTCTATTTTTTTTTTATTTTTAAGATTCTTTTTATATTTTTAATAATAATAGCAGTAAGTTTATGAGACAAGTGGTCATTTATTGTATTTTATTCACTCACAAGTCATTTCTAGAGGAAAAATAATTTTAAAAATACATGAAAAATCAGTGTTTTCTTCAGCTTTCCAAAAAAAATATTTTCAAATTTTTCCCAGTAGAAATGAGCACCGAAAATGCAAAAAAACTTAAAAGAAAAGCGTAAAAGCGTGAGTTTCGATCTTCGGGCCGGGTTAATTTTGATGAAAAAATTCAAGAATACTCCCTCCATTAGACTTATTCTGCATTTAAAATGGCATTATGGGATCTCCAGTTCTTCTTAGGGAAAAAAATAAAAAAGTGTCCTTAATGATGCTTTTTGCTTGTCTGACAGCTTGTAATGCCCTCTGGACAATCAAGTAATGTAAAGAAATATCTTTTAGGGGCAAATTGGTGGGAAATCTCAGGAAAAATAAATCAATAGCTGATATATTCTCAATTATAGATTTTGGAATCGATAAACGATGTAATTTCAATAATCTCCATTTCCGGAAAATATAATAACTTTTCCACGAGAAAAAGTGCTCGCTCGGGATTCGAACCCGCACCTCCAATAACGGTGCTCATAATCCCATGATTAGTACGTTGTTCTACGTTGAAAATGTTGACCTGAAAATAACCTAAAACCAGATGAAAATCGATCGGTCTGTTGTAAATCAATAAATTTGTTTTATTGTAATAGTTTGTTTCACGAAACCATTACAGTGCTCGAAGAAATCATTGAAGTGCTTCTGGATTATCCTGATCTTCCTGTAATGGATGTTTTCCGAAGCCGGTGTTTCAACCCTTTGAAGTTGACTAAACATAGGAAGCCCAATGTGCGACTAGCCTCTGATATTTTAGTGATAAAAATTCCGAAGTTAAAAGGAAAAGCAATCTGTGATTCTTGTCATAAGAAAGTTCAGAACATGTCTGATCTTGAAATCGAATTACTCAATAATGGCCTCGATGACTCTGGAGTGGAGATATCGGAAGAAACAGCAGAAGAAACAACAGAAGATGAGGATACTATGACAACTCCTGCTGAAACAAGTGATACGTTCCTTGACGAAATTGATGATATTGTCTGCAGCGGTGAGTTTTCTTAAATGTCAATTGGAGGAGCAGAAATAATCAAACTGGATAAAATCATTTATTTCACTGATGATGCTGCTCAACATTTTAAAAACCGATTCAATTTCACGAATATCTCTAAACATCAGGAAGACTTTGGAATCTCTGCAGAGTGGCACTTCTTCGGAACAGCGCACGGGAAAGGCGCTTGTGACGGAATAGGTGGTAACATGAAGAGGCAACCCGTACGGGCGAGTCTTCAAGCAGCCAACCCGACTGAGAAAATTTTGAACCCCCGAGGACTGTACAATTAGGCTAACTTACATTTGAAGAAAACTAAAGTAATCTTCACTTCAGAAAAAGAACATGCTAAAATAGCAACTGATTTGGCTATCCGCTTTATGAATGTGAAACCTGTACCTGGTACTCAAAAGTATCACAGTGTTATTTCGGATAGTGATAGCGACAAACTGATTCTGCGAAAATTTTCGTTTGCCGAAGACTTCGACCTTTCCCCGAAAAACAAGAAGTCAATCACAACTGCTAGAAGATCTACTGATGTAAAAATCTATTCACGAAGACGTCAAAGAAAAACATGATTGTAAATTATTGTTGATATGACATTTGTATATATTCCATCATTGTAAACTACCTGCTACTTTTAGAGCATTACAAATCTCAAATATTAAACCACAATTTCTCTTTTTCTTCTGAAATTTCCACTTAACAGTTCACTCTCTATTATTGTTAATTAATTGAAGAACTATGCCATCGATAAATCATTTTATTGATGGCAATGCAATGTTAAAGAGCTGCTTTAAGGATATGACTTGCAGAAATATGTACTATCAAGTTGTTTTTTTTGAAAATTTCAACTGATGCCACTCCGAAATGTCTTTTTTTATACTTCTTAATTGTCCAGAGAGCATCACAAGCTGTCCGACAGGCAAAAAGCATCATTAAGGACACTTTTCGATTTTTTTCCCTAAGAAGAACTGGAGATCCCATGATGCCATTTTAACTGAAGAATAAGTCTAATGGAAGGAGTATTCTTGAATTTTTTCATCAAAATTAACCAGGCCCGAAGACGGAAAATCACGCTTTTACGCTTTTTTAAAAGTTTTTTTGCATTTTTGGTGCTCATTTCTACTCGAAAAAATTTGAAAATATTTTTTTTTGGAAAGTTGAGGAAAAACAGATTTTGTATGTATTTTTAAAATTATTTTTCCTCTAGAAATAACTTATGAGTGAATAAAATTGAAAAATTGACCTTTTGCTCATAAACTGACGGCTATTATTATTAAAAATATTTAAAAAATCTTAAAAATCCCAAAAAAATATAGAAACCGAGAGAGAACTGTTGCAAATAAATTTGCGGACATGATGAAAATAGGTGGCCCACTTGACAAAGAATCCTTCATATACAAAAGGTATTATTATACGCCAAATTTTTTTAGACAAGTTTTTATAAATGTATACATGTAAATAATTCTATTGACTGAATAAAAACATTGTTAATTAAAAAAAAAGTAGTGGCGCTTCGGTTTCAGTCTTACGGTGACAGTGATTCGACATTTTCGAGATATATCGAGATCGATTTCCTTTCTCCTTTTTACGATAGGAGGATTATCACACAATTCAGGAACAAATTACCAAAAATTTGAGAAAAATTGAAGAAAATGAATGCATACATAATTGCCGAATGAAAAAATATAAGCAGGAAACAACACTTCAATATTTTATAAAGAACAGATTAACATCGGAATGCTTTCATCTGTCATTCCATAATTGAGTACTAAAACACGTGTGCAATGTGATTCAATCGAAAAGTAAACAAATTAACGAAGAAAACAACAATCGAAAATTTTTATTATCATTCAACATTAGTCTTATAATTCGCCACTTGATGACAAACCTTTAACATATTCTAGAAGGAAGAATGAAATGGCTCGGGATGAAGTGGATGGGACAAACTCATAGGACCTATGAAAGATCAAATTGAGCGTACATAGTCTCCTTCAAGTCGAAACTGGCGTCCATCACTCGTTGGGCAATGAAGCATTCGACAAAGAGATGCATCATCTGAGTTATCATGTTGACAGCGAACTTCACCAGTTTTTTCGAATCATCCATATTGTTCACTATCTAGTAATGTCCGATTGACAGCAGTAGTTCAAGCAAAATCACTCAAAAATAAGGATTACGACCTCGATACTATACCTGCACACCAGTGATGCTCATTAAGATCATATTAAGCCCAATGATTCCGAAGAAAGACCAGAGGTAAATGTCTCTGACATGCTCTGCAAACCTGTTCATTGGAATTTTATTATCAATCCAGTACTACGATATTATCATGAGATGATGACATACTCTATTGCACGGCTATGGATCATCGCACAGCGTCTCATGTACTCAAAACTTTCGTCATTACCTGCAAAATCGTCGTGCGGAGGCAGATGTTCAATTACATATCTGCAACGAAAAGCTTAGTTTGAAAATTTCAGCGCTCGCAATTTCATCAGTCATGCTCTACATCACCCCAATCCCTTGAGTAATCCATTTGCATGCTCAGCAAAAGTGAACATTAATAGATCACATGAACCAATGACTGTCAAACGCGTCAATATGCCAAATGAAGTTGCACACCAGAGATAATAATACCAAGTGTCCACATCGACAGGGCCGAATTCCATCGGCATGGAAAATCTCTTTGCTAATGTGACGTTGGGGTATAGAAGATAAACGGTCAATCTCTCCTGTAACGGTTCAGTTACGTAACTTACAACACTCAACCATATCGCCGCTGAAGAAATTTTTGATTAGTGACATATAAATGGAAAGTCAAAGTGTTCATTATCGGGCTAGATGACTCACTCATATATATCCTCGCGAATTTCCTCCCGAAAGCACTGTAATCATGAAGCATATGAAGTCCATTATTTTTCGGGAGAATATTCCAATTACATTTGATTTGTTCCAAGAGGTAAACCATCTAGAAGTCGAATGGACGATCGGCAATTATTGTATCATTAAACTGAACGATGGATGCGTTGAAAAGTATAACTTGCCGTCTTATAATGGCAACAATTATTCACGTATTTTGTCAGCAGCGCTACATCTATGATGAAGGGAGCAGTGCAGTCTAGAACCACCTCGAAATCGTCGCGATTTATCCAAAGAGCTGATATCTTCATCACAATGTACAAAACGTAAAATATTCTATCAAAATTTCTCCTCCTTCTCCAAGCCGTTTCCCGGTTCTCAGTTCGCGGCTTTAATTATCAATGACATAGGTGGAGTATTTTTATAATAAATAATGTGATTGTAACCGAGAATTAATTTGATGTTCATAATGGCTATAATTCTACACGTTAAGGTACAAACTTTTTTGTGATGCTTTGCTGATCCGTATGTTTGAAAGGATGTTTTTGGAGTAAAAGAGAGTTTCATAAATAGGTAGGAATGAAATTCATGTATAGATCCTTCACTGTTTGAAAATTACTCTTGAAATTTCAACTAAAAATTCTGGAAATTTTTAACAACGAATAATTTACACGGCATTTCCATTGATCTTGTTAAAATGCTTGAAATTTGATTTCTCCGGTTCTACGACACTGAAAATTACTGAAAATCATGTGAATTCAAGCAACTTTTCTTCAGAATTTTCAATCTATTGCTTAATTTTCGCGATGGGTTTGAAAATCCAAATTGTCATCGAAAATTCAATGATCAATTGATCATTCATAATGAAGAACTTAATTTTATTGAATTTCCAAGATGAATTAGGAATTCCATGAACAATTTAGTCTGAAATTGAATTCAAGTTCAGAATATTGGAAATTCAAATGCATCTGTTACTTAAATTTTAAAAAATTTCTAACACTGTTGGTAATGTTTTGCATGTTCTTCGTTTTTTCAAGTAGATGCAAATGAAGTAATTGCCCTGATGAGGAGTGAGATTTACCACTCGAAGCGTTGGCAATAGTGAATGGATTTTTTGTGGTATTTCATTGTGGACGTTGAAAGAGCCGAGAACCGCGAAATGGACTGGAGAAGGAGGAGAAATGTTGATATTAATGCAGACGTGGTTGGAAAAATAATCCAGGTAAAATATTCTAAGTGTGGAAAGACAATAGTACATTATGTCATCAGGCGATAAAAGTATTATCGGAGGAATGTGACTTTATAATCCGAGCCGAGGGCTAGGATTATAATCACATGAGTCAAATAATAGTTTCATCGCCGCGTAACATAAAACAATTTTTCAATAGTACCTGTATTGTCAGCATCATGCCGATAATAGAAAACGTCACAATGGCAGTTGCGATGTGTACTCCCGTGGATTGATAGGGCCATTGGCCCATAAAACTCGTCACCCTTCTCACCATTTTGTAATAGGGATGATTCCAAAAATCTTCGCTGTCAGGCATCTCTTCCAATTCATGAAAATTCAGCGAATCCAATTCAGAGTAAACATTACCTCAACGGAAATTTACCTAAAAATATTGATGGAGAACAGACTGTTTCACAATGGATTTATGATGGGATTACTCTTAAGAGTCCGTGTCTGAAGTTCTTCCTCGGCTCAGCAAAATATCACGTAGTAGCAGATTCTCCGTATGATCCATGAATTAAGTATTAGGTCGCGAGGTGGAAAAAAAATCCATGCGTGATTGACAGTGACGCAATGATTTTTTTAAATATTCAGTGAGGAGAAGGGGTTTATTTCGAGGCAAACATTAATAATTGATTTTCACACCTTTCGATAATACATCAACGTGAGGAGGAAAGGTGAGAATGTCCAGACTCTTCGGCGCCCGCTATGAGTTATTTAATAGGAAGCAAGTGAGAGTAGAAGTAGAAATAGTATTAAGACCAATAATGAGGGAAAAATTGTTTCTGTGTATCATTTCTTAGGACAATGACTTCTCTTTGAAACATGAATCATTCAAAGTGGAAGATACATTACTACCTGAGTAACAGAGTTCGGGGCATTATAGCCATCGCGAAAAGCTCACAGTAGTACGGATGAATAGTTTCATTGTAGAAAATTGGTGGTAGTCATTGCGGAAAAACTAGTGGTAGTCTCCTCCATTTATTTAATCCACGACGACAATTGTAGAAAATTTCAGTGGATTGCCATGTATAACAAGCAGCCACGTATGAAACAATCCTATAGGATTTTCTATTGCATATTTTTCTATAGGAAATCCTTTGGAGGATTCGAACATTTCCTATAGGATTTTCCAGATAGGATTTGTTATAGGATTCCTTATCAGATTTTTCCTATTGTATTTCTTATAGCATTTCCTACACGGATAGAAATATTCAGTAAAAATTACGGAACAATTCATGTAATCCGCAATGGGGAATCGTTTTCCGGCAATTTTTATAGGAATGGAAGAGAAGAAATCTGAAACGTTCTGTGAATTCTTAGTTTCATCACCGAACAAAGTACACGGAGAGAAATATTCAATAAAAATTACGTATCTATTCCGTAATTCCGTAGCGAAATGTGGCTGTAGGAAATTTTACGCAACTGTCACGGAATTTTTCCAGAGCGTTCAGTAATTTTTACCTGAATCTCCTCTGAAAAATTGAGCTACCATCACTTAAATTTCCTGAGTCTATTCCGTAATCGGTGAGCGAACTGTGAGTTTCGTCATTTTTACTGAACATTTCTCTTCGTGTACCAAATTGTCACGTATTTTTTCCGAAGAAGTAAAATCTTATAGAAACTTGAAATTCTCGACTTATTATGCCTCCAAAATCGAAAATTCTTGAACGTTCAACAATTTTTATGAAGCTGGTGAGATATTTTTACGTTCCGTTCCGTAAAATTTCTTAATCGTTGGAGAAAAATTAGGGAACGACCTGTTGTCCCCACAGTGGTGAGTCTTCAGACGGGTGGTTAATTTTTACAGAATAAATCGTAGAATTTACGTGGCGATTCATACAATTTCCTCGACAATTTCAGTTCCGACTCACACTTTTTATTGAATTTTACTTCGCTCGGGGATTACGTTTCGAAACGTAATTTTTACGTTTTTTTTTTTCTGGTAATTTTTATTGAATTTTTTTCTCCGTGTACAGGATTTCATATGAGATTCTCAATAGAATTTCCTATAAACTTTTGGAGCATAAGAGTCACAATGAGAATCAACAGTATCATATGGAGATCATGTGGGGGTCATATAACTTTTTTGACCCTCATTATGACCTTTCTGAAACAGCGTGTCAATGTTGAGCTCAATCATAGCTACACGGAGAGAAATGTACGAGAAAAATTACCGTGCCCGCACAGTAAAGTTGGTTCAGATGGTCTTTCCAGGCCAAATGTACCGCAAAGAGTAGGAAAAAGTACTGTTGCACGAGTCATTTTTCGGATAAATGTGGGGAAAAATTCTTGTGCAGCACGGTAAAATCGAAGCGACAGTGAATTTTTACGAGAAATACGAGAAAAATTATGACACTGACTGGCAAATTTTTCCGGTGCTCTACCAGAATCCTAGGACCCGATCGCGCATTCGTAAGATTTCGGTACTCTTCGTCCCCCCTCCGCAACCACGAACATCGACTCAACGTGACCAGATGATTTATTCCGTCGCCTCCTCTAGCCTCCTCTCTCACATATCTCCTTACTGAAACCCCAGGTTAATGTTTTTCATAATATCAATTCAGTGAAATATTAATTAGTGTTGTGATAAAACGGTTAAGAAATAAAATAAGTGCCCTTTATTTTCGCTTCATGAGGTGTATAACGCTGTAGATATACATTGGCCTGTCAAACGTTCCACATACGTTTGCCGCGCATTCCGCTTTTAATATGGGAGAGAGGATATGGAGGAGAGGTTAAAATAAAATTAATAGGATGATATGCTGAATGACAATGTTTACTCATTTTTAACTATTGAATGAAATTTATCATATAATAGAAAACAGTCAGGGATCAAGCTTTTATTGTGCGTTACCGGAATTTTTACTATGCAGCACCGGAATTTTTCTGGTGCTAGACAATTGAACCCACTTTATCAGACGGCACGGTAATTTTTGCCTGAATTTCGCCTGAAAAATTCTGGAATTTTTTTCTCCGTGTACAATGAGCCAAAATTTCAGATTTTTATCTACAAATTTCACCGCATTTATCCTGAATTTTCGAAAAATTAATCACCAAAAATCTAAGTTGTCATAGACATAAATACACACCGACCCTAAACATCATTTTTTCACGTTTCTCAACATTCTAGACCATATGCAATCAAAATTAGAGAATCGACAAGTCGGTCAAATACAAGGCTTCCATTCGGAAGCAAAAGAAATGAGCAGAAAGATAGTAACATTATAATCCTTTCTGTTTTATTCAATACATATTCGTCGCAACAAGTCCCACCTCATTTCACTGCATAACCAAAAATACCGTAAAATATGATGCTGCCGTCTTGAGAACCTGTAATAGCACAACCAAGAATGAAACAAAAAAAAAGAGTGATTTTTGAGTCTTACCACAGCATATGTGTTCATATTCATAACAATTATTTTCCCAGCAGTTAGAACAATTGGAGTTTGGCTTCTTATGAGCATCAGAGGGATCAGTTTCTGCGTTCGCCTTGAAGCATCATACCATTTGGCATTTGTCCTAGATATTGCAGAGAAAGTTTATAACATGATTCATCGCTATGAGTACTTGAATTAAGGGGAGACTACTATGAGTTTCAAAAGTCGTGGGCTATTGGAATGAAATTTTTCGTACATTGAAAATCAATTATACATGTCTAAAAACGAATAATTGGTGCAAAAAAATTAATTGTTTATTGTTCCTTTGCCCCGCAACCACTTAAAATGTTAAAAATAGACCAGATTTTTTTTCAACATTTTTGAAAAATTGTGTGCAATACCAATTACGAATTAGTTTTTTGAAATTCAACTCCTACACGGTTAATTTTGTTTTTTTTTTAATCAAAAATTGGACCATTGATGTAAAATAGCACCCACATTTTTCTGAAAGAATCGAGAATATATTTTAAATAGTTTAATCCTCGATCACTCACTCAATGATCGCGGCGCCGCTCGTTTTCATGGTTTTATAATCTGGCGTGTTTCTCGACACTTCAAAATTCTGAAAAAATTAGAGTTCCATCTTTTTATTAAACGTTGACGTTGTCCGTTTTATTCTCGAGCAATCTGTTTAGCTGAAAAAATCAAAGAAACTTCGAACGTACAGAAAAGCGGCGCCGCGCCACCCGGTGCGATTGAGTCTGTCGATCCCTCCAACGACAGTGTTGCTAAATTCACTGCCATACTTGAAATGCGAGCATAGTGGTAAGCGCCAAGGTGGCAACAGCGCGCTCGGTTTAACTCAGCGGCGCTGCGCTAACCGTGCGACTGATGAAGGCTGGCGACCGAACGCGAGGGATCGAGGGTTACGGATAATTTTTCTGCCTATTTTCCATGAATTGTGCCAATTTTTATATTAACCAAATCGAAATTAATTGTGTAGGAGTCAAAATTCAAAAAACTAATTCGTAATTGTTTTGTACACATTTTTTCAAAAATATTGAAAAAAACCTGTGCTGCTGAAAAATTGGAGGCCCTGAACTACTTTTAACATTTCACAAACGAACAATAAATAATAGATTTTTTTGCACTATTTATTCGTTTTCAGACATATATAATCGATCTTTAACCCATTGCACAACCAAGCGTGTCCCCACTCTCCGGCCAGACGGATTCTGGTGGTCGTGGGGATGGCGCGCCCAGGGACGTATCTACGCGGCAATTCAAAAATAAATACTCCTTTAGTTCCCGCGTTCAATTATCTGCCGATATTTTTATTTGAAACAATTATTTATTTTGAAGAATTATTATTATTTATTATGTCAACAATGATTTACAGCTTACAAATGACATCAGTGGCAGAAGTTAACAATACTTTGGCGCAGTTCTGTTACATACTACGAATCACATATGTTTCTTATTTCAAAGTCCAACTAAATTATCATTTCATCACAGACTTAAGTGGCTACTTTGGCATCTAGTCCCTGATGAATCTTTGTGAAACATGGGACCTTACACATAACTTTTTGGCATCCCAAGCACTCCCAACTTGAACGTATTGGATTATTACTCGGGGTTTTACGTCCTTCCTGGGCACATACAACGCAAATCCTCATAGTGGTCACAGTCAATTGATGAACAAGGGGCATTCCTTTAGGATTACCTGCTCGCCTGCGAGAAGTAAAATCTCCAATCAATTGTCGGACCAGTTGTTCCTTGAAATGCAACTGGTTCTTAACTCGCCTCTGGGTTTCTGGAGTAGTATTTGAATATAAAATGAACGCATTGATGATGGAAACGTCAATAATGAAATTCAGTACGTATTTCCACCATTTGTTACTCTTTCGCCCGACCGGATAGTATGATCGATGTTGATCAGCTAGATCAACACCACCCATACCCTGATTATAAATTATAATAGGAAGAGGACACGATAGAGTGCTAGTACCACCACCTTTTTGCCTCCTATCCTTCTCCACTCGTCCCAACGGATCACAATTGTTTGAAACTAGTGCAACATCGCGTTTGTCGTGCCACAGAGTGGCTGTTAGATTGCCCTTCTGGCGCTGTATGCAGTCACCGGGTTTCAATTTTAAAGCTGCTGGTTTGCGTAATTCGTCTGGCCATTCTTTCCTATTAGTCCTAATTGTGCCACAAGCATATAAATGCTTTTGGGCAAGCATTCCTAGCAATCGAATAGAGGTGAAGAAATTATCAAAAAAGATATGATGTCTCTTGCCCACAAAAGGTTCAATCATGTCCATGACGACTTGCTCCCCCAACAGCAATTCATTACGGGCAGGTTCTTTTTTACCTAAGTAAACTCTGAGACGGAGGACATACCCACTTTGAGCTTCAGCAATCATCCACACCTTTATACCCCATTTGGTGGGCTTCTGTGTCATATATTGTTTCAATCCCAACCTGCCGTTGAATCCGACCATAGCTTCATCAACAGATAAGTCTCGGCCACGTTGTAAATAGTCGGGGAATTTGTTGGAGATGTCGAGGACTGGTTGAACTTTGTACAATGGATGGCCGGTTGAATTGTCTTCATCAGTTAAATGGAGGTATTTTCCAATCTTTATAAAACGATTATACGTCATGGTATTAGCAACAATTGGACAATTAACAAAATCACCAAAAAAATAATATTCTACTGTTGGTAGATCAATTATTCCCATGTATATTTGGATTCCAATATAAACTTTTATTTCAGGAAGTGTAACAGGTGTCCATATCTTGTCTGAATAATTCTTTTTCTTCTGTAAATGCTATGCGTACCTGTTCGTTTCTGTAACAATATTTTGGTAAAAACTTTCATTAAGAAATAAACTCAGAAAATCCGCTTCCATAGCATCAGGTGGCAAACCATGTCGTGGGGCTCTGTCTAGAAGGAAATTGTCTACAGGGTGGTCGACAACATTTTCGGTCCACTCCAGTTCCAATGATTGCTTGTTGACATCATCATCACCATCTCCACATTCAGACGCTGACTCCCATGGTCGTTCAGATGTGTCACTATTATACCCATCTGCGTTTTCAGCATTGGGTGTAATGTTCTCCTCATTTCCTTTCCTGACAGGTTTTTTCCTCGATTGTCGATTTTGTTCTTTGGTCTTCGTGGATTTGAGGGGATTAATTCGAGCAGACTTGGCTCTCTGTCCTTTGACTTGTACCTTTGGCATAGTTTCGCCATTAAGCTGTTAATTACTATAACATGATCAAGTATAATTCATTTAGCAACATTTTCAAGGATAATTTTTGACATGATTCAATGACAAATGAAAAATTGGTAATAAAATCAATTCTTCAATAACTGGATTTGTAAATACCTTGGAAACGAGTGAAATTAGGAGGAAAAGTGAACAAAACTTCTTTTCGATAGCTATTTAAATTCTTATCTTAGCATAATTCACTGTCCAGCTTGATTGAAAATCATTTGCATGAATTTAGGATATTTTGTATATATAATTAACTCTTGATTTTATTTTTATCTTGGATTTATTTTGTAATTATCTCTTGAGGTTTCAGGAAAAATCATTGAGTCATGTCAATTACTCTTATTTTATAATTGCAAGGATTATTATTCACGGTAAACCATGCTGAATAACCGCAGATGATTATTTAATGCAATGTAAATGTTNAAAATCCGCTTCCATAGCATCAGGTGGCAAACCATGTCGTGGGGCTCTGTGTAGAAGGAAATTGTCCACAGGGTGGTCGACAACATTTTCGGTCCACTCCAGTTCCAATGATTGCTTGTTGACATCGTCATCACTATCTCCACATTCAGACGCTGACTCCCATGGTCGTTCAGATGTGTCACTATTATACCCATCTGCGTTTTCAGCATTGGGTGTAATGTTCTCCTCATTTCCTTTCCTGACAGGTTTTTTCCTCGATTGTCGATTTTGTTCTTTGGTCTTCGTGGATTTGAGGGGATTAATTCGAGCAGACTTGGCTCTCTGTCCTTTGACTTGTACCTTTGGCATAGTTTCGCCATTAAGCTGTTAATTACTATAACATGATCAAGTATAATTCATTTAGCAACATTTTCAAGGATAATTTTTGACATGATTCAATGACAAATGAAAAATTGGTAATAAAATCAATTCTTCAATAACTGGATTTGTAAATACCTTGGAAACGAGTGAAATTAGGAGGAAAAGTGAACAAAACTTCTTTTCGATAGCTATTTAAATTCTTATCTTAGCATAATTCACTGTCCAGCTTGATTGAAAATCATTTGCATGAATTTAGGATATTTTGTATATATAATTAACTCTTGATTTTATTTTTATCTTGGATTTATTTTGTAATTATCTCTTGAGGTTTCAGGAAAAATCATTGAGTCATGTCAATTACTCTTATTTTATAATTGCAAGGATTATTATTCACGGTAAACCATGCTGAATAACCGCAGATGATTATTTAATGCAATGTAAATGTTCTTACCTATTTTAACCTTAAACTTCGTTTTTTTTCTTTTTTAATCCTAAATTTTCGTAAAATTTCTCAATCGCTATGAACAAACAATAAAATTAATAAGGAAAAAATAGAAGGAATAAGGAAAAAAGAATAAATTGCACGGGGCGAAAAGAGAACACGTCACACGGCCCTAACTCTGGCTCTCACGGACACACTCACACACTAGAACTTCACAAATACAGCGTACGATGGCGCTCTCATTGGCGGCCCCTCCCCCCACTTTCCTCCCACGGTAACATTTGGTGACTTTGGTTGTGCAATGGGTTAATGCATGAAAAATCTCACTCTAATAGCCCGCGGCTTTTAAAACTCATAGTAGTCTCCCCTGAACCCCAGATTGGTCACCATATGAGGGAACCCGCCCGCACGTCAATTTTCTTTAATGATAATTGACTGGCTAACCGGAAAAATTGAAGTGTTTAAAGAATTATAGTAGTTTTTAGAATAACACATTTCCCAAAATTCCTAAAGAAAACAAATTATTTCGAGCAGATGAATTATTTTTTCCCATGTTAAATGAAATTCCCATCACGCGACGTTGCCAGAAACTCGCTAAACATGCCCGGGCAGTGTAGAGTAAATTCGGCAACGCTAGAGCCTAAAGAACACGGCGGGGAATCCCCGTGGAGGTGACCAGAGTCGTCGGATTGAGTGTGGTAACCAGATTAGGGTTAAACTTACAGAGTCTCTTTGAGTTCAAAACTGGCATCCATCACACGTTGAGCTGAAAAACATTCCACGAATAGGTGCACCATCTGCATGGATACAAAGGACGTGTATTGGATGACTTTCTCCATAGCATTCAGATTGATCACCACCTAGATTTGTTTGATTCAGACGTAAAGTGACCTAAAAATATATCTTCCATCCTTATTTTTCATCGCCAGTGTCGACGGCGGTCCCATCATAAAAGACTGTATACTACACTAGAATAGAATCTACGAGCGAGAAGATTACAGGAAAAACTAGCCCAAGTCGGGGCCATTTTTTAATCATTTTTTCCTGATCTATTTTCTCTGCCTACGACTAGAATAGAACCTAGACTGGAACCAGACTTCTGGACTAGAGATTTGACTCGACTCAGGTTTAGAGTTCAAAGTCTAGTCCAGTGCCCATGTGGGAAATGACCAATTGGTTCAAGCTTGATCCAAACTCAACCAATAAAACAAAAACAATAGTATATTTCGTCAGTCGGCCGAAAAACACTTTTCTGGCGAATATGAGTTTGCAGCTCGAACCGAAGGCGAGGGCTGCAATCATATGAGCTAGAAAAGTTTTTTTTGGCCGTATGACGAACAGTATTTTTTGTTATGACGGCCGTAGGCAGAGACGCGGAGCGTCCGTGAAGCGGTGCCTCACGGCCGGAATGACAAAAAAATTTTTTAATAACATAAAATTGAAAATTTTTTTTTTTCAAATAATAATAACTATTGATGGTTGAAATTACGTAAATCCAAGCTTTATTATTTGAATATTACTAGATTAGAAAGACAGTGATAATTCAAGCTTGGGCCAACTACTAAGGTGTTTAAAACTTGTTCGAACACAACTGCACGCATGAAAAAATTGAATAGGAAACCTTAGCGGATTCGCTGGAAAATTCTATTGAAATTCTCTAAAAATTCTATGGAGATTCTATTAGATTTTTGATAGGAAGAAGTTTATAAATTTTGCTATTTTTGTTTTGTTTTGTATTACAGGATCCGATTCATGCCCAAGTATTTTTATAGAAAAAATTCCCACAGAATATTCATATAGAAAAATCTTAATTTGTTGACTTTTTCTTATCAAATATCTCACAGAATCAGCGCAAAAAATAGAATTTTAACGAGAATTCTTCCCAACCAAATTTCAGCCAATAGAATTCCACTTTTCGACTGTTATTTTGTATAATCAACACGGTATTCAACTAATAATTTTCGATAATTCAACTGGGAATTTTCCTCATCCAAATGTCAGCCAATAGAATTGCGCTATTTGACTGTTATTTCATATAGTCAACACGGTATTCAGCTGATAATTTTTGATAATTCAACTGGTAATTTTTCATGTTGACTATATTTGTGGAAAACAAAAGATTCCGTGGTCGAGTGAACCCCTGCTTGGAACTGTCAGATGGATTTTGTCTCATAATGCAATTCTTTTGGCCGACATTTGGATGGGAAAATTCCCTCCCGAACACTACTCAAGCTTCAAAATTAATCGAGTAATTCCCTCAAGGTTCCCTGCATACAAACAAACCTATCTGGAAATTTGTGATACTTTTCAAACTCTTGTGGTATTACATACGAGAATTTCCTAGAATTTTGATAGAATCCCAATAGAATTTCTATAGGATTCTAACAGCATTTTCTAGCGAATTCGCTAAGTTTTTCTATTGAATTTTTTCATACTTGGAAGCCCCGAGCTCAAGCTTGACATCCTCAAGCTGGACCATGGTTGGTTCAACCTTGGACTTCAGGGTTAATTTTTTCCGCTATTAACAAGCTTGCATTTATCTAAGTAGACTACGTCTGGCCCAGAGTCCAGTAAACCAAAATTGTACCGAGGCTGACCCCATCGGCGAAGCTTGGCATTCCCCACCTGGGTGTCTGCTAGAATTGCCATCATAATGCGATTCTAGCCATGATCTCACCTGCACAGCAGTTATACTCATTATTAGCATATTTAATCCTATAACACCGAAGAATGACCAAAGGAAAATATCTCTGACGTGTTCTGCGAAACTATTCATACGAATTTGATTAACATGAAGACCAAAAAATATCATGGAATCGCAATTACATACTCTATTGCACGCCGGTGAATTGCCGCACACCTCCGCATGTACTCGAAACTGTAGTCACCCTTCTCAGCCGCATCGTAAGGCGGCAGATGTTCAATGGCATAACTGAAAAAGGAGAAATTACTTCAAATACACATGAACGTGGCGTTATTAATCATGGTATCCATCACCCTAATGCTTTGAACATTCCGCAAGCATGCTCCGCACACAAGAATAGTAGTAAATCACAGGAACCGACGACCGTCAAAATCACAAAAACGCAAAATCCAGATCCGAATAAGAGTGGATAATACCAGATGGCCAGGTTAACTGGTCCAAAATCCATTGGCATCGAGAATCTCTTTGGTGCCGTAATGTTGGGGTTCAGGAGACGATAGAAAATTATTCGCTGCAGCGGTTCAGTTGTGTAACACAACCAACCGACGTATACTCCCACTAAATAAAATTAAATCGAGTTATCGTAAAATGTAATGATTAAATTTAATTTTTTTTTTCAAATTGCATATTGTGTTGGACAAGCGTAACAAAATATTCATGAAAACTGAAGAGATCCCTACCGACCAGGAAATATCTCTCGACACTTCCTGATTCAAACCACGAGATTTCTCAGTTATAAAATGAATATAAAAATTGAAGAAAATCACTTACCTAGATACAACACCGAAAGTTTTCTTCCGAAATCACTATGATAATGAAGCATATAAATTCCATTATTCCGAGAAAAAATGGTCCAGTGTTCTCTGATTTGTTCCAAGAGATAACGCAACTGAAAATCAAATCGATGTTCCCAATTCTTTATACTAACAAAAAAAATCACTCACTTTTTTAAAGTGGCAGCATACATTCACCAATTTCACGGTAAATACAAGATCTACGATAAAAGGACTGATGGTATCCATAACCATTTTCCTGTCATTTCGATGTTTCCAAAAAGCCATTATCTACAATGTATTAGAAAGCATAAGAAAGCTGAGGGTGAAAAAACAAATGTTATTTATTTTTAAATTGTACCTGTGGCCCAATTTGAACGACTGAAACGATAAATATTCCAAAACGACACATGATGATCTCCTTCATTGATTGGCCGGGCCATAGGCCAACGGCAGCGGTGAATCTCTTCACAGTTTTGTAGTAGGGATGATCCCAGAAATCCACACCTCCTCCCATTTCTTCAACAAACCATCATTGGATTCGGCCAATTCAATTCGAACAAATCATTTCGCCAATCAAAATTATATAAGGAAAAATGGGCAATATTTAATTATAGCTGTAATGATTCCGAGTGTCCATTTTTTAAGTTTCCTCTCCATTTACCATTTCACGGAGAGAATCAAAGTTCTTCCTGGTAGCTCTCCTTCCCGCTATCGAATAATAAAAACTGCGATTTTCTTTGTGAAAATAAAGCATCTGGGATTGACAGCACATGCTATTAAACTTTTAAATATTCCGTGAAGGAAAAGTGCTTGTTTAGGGGAAAATATTTCCAAGAGATATCAACACCTGTCACTAATTCATCGATGTGGGGTGGAAAGAATAGGGAAGCTAGACGGTATGGCGTCAGAACGGAGTCATCCAGTGGGGTGTAACAGAGAAATAGAATTGTATTAAATTAAATGGAAGAGGAAAAAAAATTTTTCTTTGTCGAGTTTGTAATTAGGAAAGATAGTGTGTGCGTGCGGTATATTTCACGTTTTAAACATGCCGAACCATATCGACCATTCTTTTAATGTTAACCTTCGATTACAATGTGATTACATTCGACCCGGTAGAATTTTCTCACTCAACATACAATGTATCTTTTCACTGCACCGCCAAAAAGACTGTGACATAAGAAGCTGCTGTTTTCAGAATCTGTCGGTGCATAATAAAAAAATAGAGATAATAATCCATTACATGGCTGTGAAATCATTATGAACGGATGATATGTGTAAAGATTTTGCATTTTGTGTCCACGATATGTGCTACTCTCAAGTGAAGTATCTCGACAAACATTAAGAAGTTATCGATACATGCAGCATTATCAATTGAGAGATTTTTATTTCCTCTTCCTTCCCCCTGTAAATTTGAGATGAGCTATCTGTTAATTAAATTGATTAAGTGAATTAAATTAATTTAATTATTTGAATTTAATTGAATGATGGTATAATGATCCTTTTTGAAGATTAAAAATAATTATTGATAATGGTTGATAAAACTTAATGTGAAGAGTATAATAATAGTTAATTAAATTATCCGAAAAAACTTATTAAAATTAAGGTCAGATGGACCAGATCTGCATCTGATGATTTTCTCTTCACGTGATGCCATTCAGATGATGATCAAATGCATCAAATCCCAATTTGATCAAATTGGGGTCAAGCAGCCTAACCTCAGGGTGAGATCATGCTTACCTGATCAGAACTTGATCTGAGACCGCCTGCAGTTTTTCGGATCCGATGTACTGGATCTGGTTCTCATCAGGAATCACCTGATCATGTGTACCGTATCAGAACTTGACCTGTACTCGCCTGCAGTTTTTGGGATCCGATCTGCTAAATCAAAACTTGGTCAGGTTCTCATACGGCATCACCTGATCATGTTTATCTGATTAGAATTTGATCTGAACCTGCCTGCAGTTTTTGGGATCCAATCTACTGGATCAGAACTTGGTCAGGTTCTCATCAGGAATCACCGGATCAGTCGAGCCTTACAAAAACTAGATCAAGTTCTGATCGTGCTTCAGGTGGGCCTGAAGCAATTTCCACTCGGGTACCTCAAAATTTGGTTTCTATGCACCAGAAAATATAACCGGATGAAAAATATGAATGGATACCAAATGGTACCTAGCGTATAGTCCACTAGTTGCGGGAGGCGGCTAATCGAATACTATTTCTTTTCTATAGAAAAAAGGTCGCACTCATACATTCGTGGAAAGAGCGAGCGAAGCGAGCGGAGGGACGAAGCTCCTTCGGTTAGCAAGCGAAGCAAGCAAGGGGCGAAAGACCTGCAAGACAAACGTCTATATCGTGAGAAATGTAAGTTGAAAATCATTTTGTGTTATAGAATTCCCTACATTTGTCACACTGGATATCTGGATGACTTTTAGAAACTACTCTACCACAAAATTGAGTCAACAAGTGTTTAGATATTTATCTATCAATAAATTTATGATCTTACAGCAGCATAAGTGTCCATATTCATGACACTCATCTTGCCAGCACTGAGGACGATCGGAATTTGGTTGCAGGTCTAAATATTACGGAACCATTATGTTACGGTAAAAAATATTACGCAAAAATATTACGGGACAAAATATTAAGCAGAAAATTATTACGGGACAAAAAATTATTGAACTGTAATATTACCGTACATAAAGGTATGGAATCAAGGACAAACCTTTATCCGCTCGATTAGGAATTCTCCGAAAATCAAATCGATACAATAATAGCCCAACACCAAAAAATATGACCCGAGGTCAGTTACCATCGATTACTCAACAGGTGTATGAGTTGGTATGATTATATTAATCCCCCAAAACAAAATAAAATTCCCTCAAACATTCACACACAAAACCGAAGATTATTCAACAAAAGTTAGTTATATCGGAATGCTTGACACGGGTGCGTTAAAATAATTACCATGCTTCTTCACTTCATCCTCAGCCAAAAAGGCGCAAAACTACTATTACACAAAGGTTTTTTATTCAACAAATTACGAATTTGTGAAACAAAAGAAATGCTATAAATAACGGAAAATAATAATGAATAACACCGACGTCGGTAAAAACGTTGTAATATTATTTCCAATAATAAAAACGACCAATAATAATTAGACCCCGTAACAATTTGGATCGTAATATTATTTACCGTAATATTATGGCGCAATATTTTTTACCGTAACATTTAGACCGGATACCCGGAATTTGACTCCTCATGGGCATCAGAAGGATTAACTTGTGAGTTATCTTGGATGCCATATACCACTTCACGTTGGTCCTGGAAAATTCACAGGACCATAGGAAATAGTTGCTAATACTAGCTAATGAAAATGGAATTTTCAAATCTTAGAGGGTCTCCTTGAGCTCGAAACTGGCGTCCATCAGTCGCTGGGCGACCAAATACTCGATGAAGAGATGTACCATCTGTATGAAGACGAAGACGGTGAATTTGACGGCTTTCTCCAAGCATCCAAGTTCGTCACCACCTAGTAGAGTTTGATTTACAATAGGTACATAACAATTTAATAGGATATTATGGCTGGTCAGGCTGCGCTACCTGCACGCCAGTTACACTCATCACGATCATGTTGAGTCCAATAACTCTGAAGAAATTCCAGAGGTAAATGTCTCAGATGTCTTCTGCAAATTTATTTGAATATGAAATGAGCAGCGAAAACATAAGAATAGCTAAATTATGAACTTTTCGATAAACATCTCCGATGAATTGCGAAGGGAGATGCAGGAATTTTGTTAATAGCTACAAAAAAAGTTTCTAAACAAATTTTCTATATTTCTTCAATTCCGATATATTTAGGCAATTACAGAAGATAGTATCAATTTTTTGAAGAATAAGCGTTTTTTTCATTTTCGCATGCATGCACCCTACGACCTTTGCGGAAAGGGGTCCCGGGGCATCTGCGGCTGATGTAAATGCTCGATTTTCAAGTAATAATATTGAACGTGATTTTCCGTGGTGAACACCCACCGCTCGCTATCGCGAGACCGAAAAATGAAATATTATTGTTCTTTTGTGCAAACCGAACTCAGAATTCAGGCGGAATCATTTACATAAATTTTATTTTTGACGTGGATACGTCTATGGTTTCGTTTTGGGAGGTCATTTGGTAAAAAAATGCTTATGCAGCCGCGCCATCTATCGGCGATGCTGACTGTCGATACGTTACCAACCGTTGATCGATCGGTAAGATACCGACAGGTTGTTAGTCATAGAAATTTCCAGTGCAGAAATTTCTCGATTCAAAATTCTCTATAAAAGGCGGATCGGCACGCTTCGCCGTCAGTTGTAAATTGGCAATCAAAGAGTTAACATCGTATAAAGTAAAGAGTGTAAATATCTGGTACAGTGGTAAAGTCAGTGTAGATATTGACGTGGATACGTCTATTGTTTTAATATGGGGGGTCATTTTGGGAGACGATCCTTATGTGCAGCGCTATCTATCGGAAGGCTAGAAAATTCTAGACATTTCGAAGTAATTTGGGAAGTTTCTTGAAATTTTGAAAAAATTCAATGAGTTTCTATAAATTTCGATAATTAGATTATATAACTGCTTCAACGAATTTTTCGAGGAAGCTGAATTATTTCGTCATTTAATACCAATAGAAATTGAAATCAACAAGAAAATTGAGTTGGACTCAATTAGGTAAATAACTTGAAGGGGGTGACTGGGTCAAATTTTGACCTTTGTGGGGTTCATCCCAGCTGCGTCCCCGTAGCAATCCCTGGGTAATGCTATGTGCTGGTGAAGCTTGATACTTTAAGAATAAGTACTTCACTACACGTTGAATCTATATGAACACCTCATACATGAAATTTCATAACTGCTTTTAGACGGGAAAGCGCAGAATGGGAAGTCCCGTACATCTACATGAGCATACATATTATTAAGTGTGATAGCTCAAAGGAGGTTAAATTCATTTACAGCAACCAGGTTCCCACACAATATACGTTAAATTACTTCAAGATCAATATAAAAAGATGGTATTTACCTATCAGTATCCCGAATGAATAGGAGTTGCTATGTTATCTAATTACCGAAATTTCGAGGAAATTCAGGGAGTTTCTAGCAAATTCGAGAAAGAAGGACAGATCATGGACGTATCCTCGCACAATTACATCTGTATCGAAGATACAGCCGCCTGCAATTTTTAATATAATGTTCAGCAATTGTTTTTCGTGAATTATGAGAGGCAAGTGGGACAAAATGAATGGTTTTTCATGGTCAATAACGTAAGCTAGGGCGAGTGAAATCGAATGAATTCGGTAATATTCCCCAGGCATTTACTTTTTTCCATTTAAGTATTTTAAATCAATAGGCTTACTGTTTTCGAGAATAATAATCATACTACAAGTGTCAGAGAATAATTCATCATTTACATGGTATCTCATACATTTACTTTACTTTTTTTCAAGAATAAATCAATAGCCATAATAAAGATCTAGCATAGAGCTCAGTTTTTCTTGATTTCCCTATTCACTCATTTTACATAACCCACAGATAGTTGAATGCAAAGAATTATAGAGAAATATT